CCCCCCTATAAGTATATATACAACTTCTCTACTAGCTATATATCACAAGTACTCACTCTCTCTACTAGCTTCCTCTGTTTCTGTTCTTACAACTTCCTCTGTTTTGATCTGTTCTGATTAACATGGTGGACGTTTCTGGATTTGAGGGATTTGAGAAAAGGTTAGAGCTTCGATTCTTCAGAGACAAAGACCCATTGGAGAACTCCATGGGACTAAGGCTTATCGACTTCGAATCTCTCGAGAAAGTATTAGAAACCGTGCAATGCACGGTAGTTTCCGCCATAGCTAACCAAAGCTTCGACGCATACGTCCTCTCAGAGTCAAGCCTCTTTATTTACCCAACCAAGATCATCATCAAGACATGTGGCACTACAAAGCTCCTCAAGTCGATCCAACCACTGGTCCTCCTCGCTCGAAATCTCAACCTCACGTTAAGCGCGTGTCGTTACACTCGTGGCAGCTTCATCTTCCCCAATTCACAGCCTTTTCCTCACACTAGCTTCGAAGAAGAAATCGTCGTACTCGAGGAAGCTATTCCGTTATCTCTCCGTTACCGTAAAGCCTCTGTTTTGCCTTCTCACGAACCCTCGCGTGCATGGCACGTTTTCTCCGCAAGCGTTGACTTCGACTCCGATTCTTTCATTGTCGTTGAGGTTTGTATGACGGAGCTCGACCGTTTTCTCTCTCGGAGCTTCTTTGGACGTAACGGGAAAGAGATGACACGGCTAAGCGGAATCGATTTGATAAACGCAAACGCAATTGTATGCGATTTCGCGTTTGATCCTTGCGGTTACTCGATGAACAGCGTCGACGGTGATCGTTACTCGACAATCCACGTCACGCCGGAGGAAGGTTTTAGCTATGCGAGCTTCGAGTGCGTGGCTTCGGTAAATGACGAAGATATAGCGTTGGTTTTGAAACGCGCCGTTGACGTTTTCCGGCCAGGAACCGTCTCGATCGCCACCACGTACGGCGGAGAGGAGTATAATGATGAGGTGACTAAGCGAGTGGAGAGCGTTTTAGAGGAGAAATTGGGGCTAGAGTGTCGAAGCCGTCGTGTGGAAGAGTTTCCAGGCTCGGGAACAGTCGTGTACCAGTCGTTCACTTCTCGTCGGAAAATAGTCTTGCCTGAGAAAAACGGTGATGAATGCTGATAGAAGGAAAAAGATTTGAATATTTAATTTTGGATAAAAAAAGAGATAGAGGTGGAAAATGAGATATTGGTTTTATTATTGTGACGTTTGACATTTTTTTTTTGTTATTTTGCAATTTTTTCATGACGAAGCAAAGGATCGAGGTTCAAGTGTGTAGGAATTTCATAAGGTCATAAAAAAAACTATTCCTCTAGATTTGATCATAGAGATTCTCACTAAATTACCTGCTTAGGCATTCAGATTTTAAAGTTAGGCTCGGAAAGTCATATGTAA